TTGCTTCTAAAAGCAAATAATAAGGAAGAATTTCTTTACTGTCCGAGCCCCCAAGGTCTGGAACAGCCTGCCACCGGAGGTGGTTCAAGCGCCTTCATTGAACACCTTCAAGATGAAACTGGATGCTTATCTTGCTGGGATCCTATGACCCCAGCTGACTTCCTGCCCTTTGGGCAGGGGGCTGGACTCGATGATCTTCCGAGGTCCCTTCCAGCCCTAATGTCTATGAAATCTATGAAGTAGTGCCAGTTATTTGTAAGCAAGCAGCAATGTCAAAACAATAATCAGTCTTAATTTAGGGAAGAGAAGATTGAAAAAAAGATTTAAGAGAAGTAGGGTAGGAATGCTTAAGAAAGGCATATCATGTGCAAATAGTGAGGACATTGGTGCTAAGGGTAGATCAGGGATATTGGCTTTCATGGTTTAAAAACCAATAAAAATAGTTATTGAAAAAGGTTTAAGAGGAGGAAAAAGAGGCATAATGTGTTCTTTCTGTAATTTTTTGTCTTAATTATTTTGGCTGTGAGTAAATCCTGTTTCTCTTTTAAATAGTATGCTCTTAGCTGTCATGTACAAGAACAGAGGTAGAGGGTGTGTGTGTGTGTGAGAAATTATGCGTACAGAGACGCACACAGACAGTTTTGTCATGTTAGACAACCATGTACTAATGTTAACATATTGTAACCTTGTTTAACTTTTTAATTTTTCTTTGTCTTCCTAACAACACGGCTAGGTAACTAAAATATTCCACATATACACACTTGAGGAATCAGTCAGGTCTACCTCATGATCTGATGATATCACATTTTTTTCATCCTCCTTTTTACTTGCTCATTGCAGAAGCATAGCTCTCTTCTAACCCCTCACCACCAGAGTGCAACAGCTAAGTTTCTCCCTCCCAGTCTCTAAGGCTCGTTAGATGTTGACTTTGTGCTATGATAAAAATTTTGATGATGGCACAGTAGCTGAGAGAATAGATGTCTTAGTTGTACCAAAAGTGCTTTAATTTTATCACAACAGCAACCCTAGTAATCATTTGTGCCTCCTTTTTGCAGCTGATATCTGTTCACTTATGACAGGAGAGGGGGGTCAGCCCATGATGCGCATCATTCCTGTCGCACATGTCTGCAAGCATAGAAGGGGAACTCCCATAGGGCTTCCCCCCTCTGTTTGCCCCTAGTGCACATATACCCTCTTGGGAGTTCCCCGTCTGTGTTGCAGACATGTGCCAGGCAATGCCACTGCAAGCAGGGGGTTTCCCACTTGCAGACTTGTGCTCTGTGTTGGGGTATAGCATCCAGGGCCCTTTTCTCTTGGGACTGGGCCTTTCAAACTCCAGGAGGGGCTGTGGCATGACAGTCAGTGAATCGGATCAGCTGTGCCATGACATGATGTGAGACAGCTGATCGGGCTCCAAAGAGGACATCTGTTTCCAGCCTAAGAGATACTTCTGCAAACACCTGGTAAAGTGGGTGGGGAGGAACGTAACCATCAAGCAAATGGTTCAAGTAATGATCAGGAAGCTCCAGGATAATAAAGTGGCCAGTAGAAAGTTTCTAAGCGGAAATGTTTGACATTTTTCTTTTTGTATTTCATCTTGGTTTTTTGGAAGAAAAATGGATTTGCATCACATCTGTATATATACATTCTTACTTGAGTTATATGAAGTGCTCTAAAGACAGCTTCTGTAGCAGTAAAAGCAACAAAAAATATTCTACCCTCTAATTTATGAGCCCAACTATGGATTTACTCAATTTTCCATCATGTTAGTCCTGTTTTGCTTTTTCCCTCAACAATTTTGGAACAGGTTATTTTCTGTGAGTAAGTATTATTTAGTATTTAGATGTGAACTATCAAGATTAAAATTATCAGCTACCAACCTTTTCAATTGCATTTGCTTAAATCAGGAGTTTCAAAACATCCAGCTTCATGGCCCTGATGAGGGAACATGGGCCGACAATGCGAGGTCATGGTTGGCAGGGCTAACCGGACCTTGTCGTGCATCCACAGGTGCATCTCGAGTAGAGCCAGGGAGGTGATCCTCCCCCTCTATGCGACGCTGGTCAGGCCGCAGCTGGAGTATTGTGTCCAGTTCTGTGCGCCCCATTTCAGGAGGGATGTGGACAACATGGAGAGGGTCCAGAGGAGGGCCACCCGCATGATCCGGGGACAACAGGGCAGACCCTACAGTGAGAGACTGCGGGACTTGACCCTATTCAGCCTCCACAAGAGAAGGCTGAGGGGGGACCTGGTGACCGTCTATAAACTCACTAGGGGGAACCAGAAGGGTTTGGGGGAGACGCTGTTTCCCCTAGCCCCTGCTGGCATAACAAGGAATAATGGGCACAAGTTGATGGAGAGGAGGTACAGATTGGACATCCGAAAAAACTACTTCACAGTCAGGGCGGCTAGGAGCTGGAACCAACTTCCAAGGGAGGTGGTGCTGGCCCCTACCCTGGGGATCTTTAAGAAGAGGCTGGATACTTACCTGGCTGGACTCATTTGAGTCCCGTTTTTGTTTTTAGGGTGAGTGGTTTTGTTTGTGTTTTTTGGGTTGTTCTCCCGCCCTGGCGGGGGGTTGGGCTAGAAGATCTATTAGGTCCCTTCCGACCCTGAAACTATGAAACTATGAAACAGGCTGGATCAGCTCTACAGACCAGCCCCATGTGCTGGATCCAGCCTGCAGGGCTGGTCTGGAGCAGGTGCCTCATGCACCCTGCACCAACCATGTGCTGCTTTCAGTGTTTGTACTAGCTTCAGCCCCACATGCCATATGCAGCATGTGCCAGCCCTGGCCCCTCATATATGGATCCCGGCCCCTCATGTGAGGCTGGTCCAGTGTGCGAGCTACATGTAGTGCCTGTGCCAGATTGGCCTGCATGCTGGGTCTGGCCCATTGGATTGATCTGTGGGCCGACATGTGGACTGGTCCCATATCCAGGGTGTATGGCTGGTTCCGTGTGGGTGCCATGTGCAGCCTGTGCTCCAGACTGAGCCCGCACTGTGTGCAGCCTGTGCCCAATGGAGTGGGATTAGGGCCAGGGAGTGGTACATGTAGTAAGCAGCACTGAGAGCCAGTGATATGGCTCTGCAGGCAGCATCTAGCCTATGGGCTGTATCTTTGACCCCCCTGGCTTAAATCGGTGCAATGAACAAGCTTTGCTGTAGGTTTTAGACCACCAAAGATGGTGATAATTCACAAGGCCAGAACAGAGGTGAACAACTATTTGTCTGATGGACAAAGATACTAATCCAGTAACTCACTGTATCAGCATCATACTTGATTGTCCCCCTCAAGCTCAGTTTTAACTTTTTAATGTCCTCTGGTCATGAGCAGTGTTGGAAGGCCTTGCAGGTAGCATGTTATCTGAGTCCTGGGTTGGGGGTCACTTGTTTAGAAGAATATTGCTATTAAAAATAGCATTTCATAGTTTATGGGTGCAATTTCATGCTGCTCTGAGAAGTGTTGCCTGTTAAATTGTCTTTAAGCCAACTTTGTACATACCTAATCATGGGCTGTTCTTATATCTGGAGAGATTTTGGCATAAAAATTTAGACCTTCAGATCTGTTTATCTAATTTATGGTGGGCAGCCCAGACTGCCAAGTGGCTATAGTGCAGCTTAAAATGTCTTCAATGCTTTGGGCCTTGCCCCTGTTGCTGCCTATGCTAGGGCTTGTGAGTAGTCCTCAGGAGGCAGCCTTTTTGTTTTCTTCCTCTGTTTTGGTATGAAGGAAATATTTACACCCAAGCAGGAAATTTTTCTAGATGCCTTTATAGCCAAATACTGATAAAAGATGAGGTAAAAGGAATGAACCTATTTCTAGGATAAATGGCCAGATGGGAGAAAAAAAGTTATTTTACTTTTACCTGCTTGCAAATCTTCATGAGAACTTTTGCATCAGTGTCTAGTGAGAAGGTACTTTTGAAAGCCCTGACTGTTAAACTGCTTACTATCCTAGACAGAAAAAAAATATTCTGTTTCCTGTCTTAATTTCAAGGCATTTATTTATTTCAAGGGTTGTGCGAGAATTCTGTGCTACTGTAATCTGTCACAGTATCAATTTTTGCATTGTCCTACACACTGAATAATTCCAGTACTTTTCTTCTGTTGCTTAAGTAGCATGAGGTTGACATGTTTGTTAGCTTAGTTGTCCACAGGATTAAAAATTGCAGTAATGAAAATTGTTC